TGGCAGGGGGTACAGCCTTTCCTTAGGCTCCTGGTAACAGCTAGCAGGCTGGATAGTATAAATTGGTGGTCCAGATATGGCCATGGGCTGTACTTTGCCCATCCCTGATTTGGACCATATCTGTAGTGCTCACTGATTGTGCCAGACAGCACTATATTGTAATACTCCATGCCAGGGGTCAGCATCTTCTAAGGAGCTGTAGGCTGAAGTAAGGCAGTGGGTCTGAAGGAGAGCTGTCACTTGTGACCCAGATGCTATCTTGTGACCTGTGCTGTGCCAAGGGCTGCTCTCTCACTCCTGCACCTCTCTGCTTCAGCTGCTACCACTCCTTAATCCTCACCACCAATTCCTATCACTCCTGACTCCCACCACTGATGAATTAAGCAGTGAGAAGTAATGGCTGCAGTAACGGGGTGAGAGAGCGATGGGCAGACCGAGTAGGGAGGGCTGATGTGGCAGCAGATGGCACTGCAGAAAAACTGTTCGGGGCAGAGGAACACTACTGAGATGGTCCTTGCCCAATGCAGGATTACCATTGAAGTCCTGGCTGCACAGGCCAGATGCAGATGCTTGGTGGGTTGAATCCAGTGCATGGGCTGCTAACCCCTAGTCCATAGTACTCTGTATTGGTTTCTGAAGCTGGAAGGAGGGTCTCCTAATTAGCACTGAAGGCAGGTTAACTGGCTCTGCTTCTCAGCAGAGATACTTAGCCTGAGTGAAGCACCTCATCCATGTGGTTCTGCTCCTTCTGGTTCAGGAAATACTTTATGCTGAGCAACGTGGCATTTTTAGCACTGCACTGCCTGGCATGGTAAGCAAGAGGTACAGTTTAGGTGATGCTCTGCTTAGCTACTGGGTACCAGTGGGGTTTAGGTGGGAGCAGAAGACAGAACTATTAGCCCTAGAGAACTTTCATGGAGGCACCTAGGAAGTTTGAGGTGCCTCCAGGGTTAGGATGTTTTTTGGATTTCTGTTTGGACTTCATTGCCTACAATCTGTCCAAGTCCTAACAGAGTTAGTTACTGAGACAGATATAAGACTTGCATGAGGGAAACTCTCTACAGGTTCTTTATTCAGAGTGCCCCCTTCTTCGGTGTTATAAAGTACAGTGTCTGCTTTCCTTCCTGTGCTTTGTTGATGCACTTGTCCTTTAGGTTCATGACCAGTACTCCACAAAGCTTTAGAGAAAATTAAAGAGTAAATATGATTAATATTCAAGTGCCTATATCGTGAATTGCAAATGGTTATCTATACACAGCATCCGCCATAACAGTACTTAAAAGCCGTAGGAGGATTGTCCTGCAAGATTTACTCAGCAGGACTATTAAGTGAGTAAGGAATGTTCAGTGGAGTATGAGTTGCCTGGTCTGAAGAATATGCAGAATTTCTGAGAGACTGCTGTACCATAGGATATGTACTTGAGAAATGCCTCCTGGAATAAGCTAATTCAAGCATGTGCATATTTATATAGTCTATACAGCTCTGAAGCAGTTTCCAGAGAAAGGGGTAGGCTTAATACTAGATTATTATGTTTTTTTCAAATTGCATATAAATGTTTAAAAGAACTTTATGGCACTGATCGAAGAATGTTTTTATGCTACCTATTGTTTTTAGCAATGGGGATCAGCTGGTGGTTCTGGATCAAGTGGTGCAGAACTCATTATTTTAACAGCACTGACTCAGCTTGGTAGGTTGCCTAGGGAATTGAGTTAATGCTTTTGTCCTTTTACCCTCTAAGGCCTGTGTCCCAAGATGACTTTGATTACAATCACCAACATCTTTAAGGGCAAAGAAATTCCCATTCCATATGAATTAAAAAGGGAGGTTAGCTACTGTTGATTTGCTGTTAGTACATTTCATGCCTGGCAATAAGCCTGAGTGAATTTTGCACTGGTGTGCCATCAAGAAATACTTATGGCATCAGAGTAATTTGAGTCGTGTTTCTCCCTAAAATTCAGAGCAAAATTCTCATCTGTGGTCCATATATGCATTCTACTTCATTATTTGCTGCTTCTACCTGTGTGGATCCTCTGTTGATGTCAGGGAATGTGCAGTACAGAAGATGAATATACTATATACATGTGAAAGGAGCATCTTTCTATTTGTGAAAGATGCTTGCCCTTTGAACTCTGAGTGGGGTGTATTTTTTTAAGGACCTGATTTACTTGATGTCATTTGAAATTCTGCCATTCAGACTGAATCATAAATTGTATCTTAGACTATTGAGGTTTTGTGCTTAACAAAAATGACTGAGAGTTTAGAGAGCAGGTCTCTGTTTACAGTGCTGTTGGAATTTTCTCATGTT